GTAATATGACTTAACACTGCTCCTAGGCCATAACTTGATGCATCACAGGCTAACCTTAATTCCCGATTCAGGTCATAATGGACTAACAGTGAATCAATAGTTAGACCCTCCTTACAGGCTTCAAAAGCTTTCTGGCAGTCGTGTGTCCACTCTCACTGCATGCCCTTTTGCAAAAGCTTATGCAAGGGTAGCAACATTGTGGCTAGCCTTGGCAGGAAAGAATGATAGTATTGCACCATGCCTAGGAAAGATCTCAGTTCACTTACATTGCTAGGGGTGGGCGCTTTCTTTACTGCATTGATTTTCTCTTCCACTGGTTGCAGACCTACCGCACCGATTTTTAGGCCTAAGTAGACCACTTCAGTTTCAAAAACTCACATTTGGGCATTTTCAAATGCAAATTGTACTTGTGTAACCTGTCCAAAACCTCTGCAAGTATCTTAAGATTCTTTTGCCAATCATTCCCACCTACCAAAATGTCATCCTGCTTACATACAGTATTTTCCAATTCCCTGGACAATCTGATCCATTTTTGCCTGAAATATTTTAGGCAAGGACTTGACACCATAAGGTAGTTTCAAATAGGAATACAGACCTTTGTGGGTGCTAATAGTCAAATACTCTTGACTTTCTTTGTCAACATTCAGCTGTGCATACGCATGTGATAAATCGAGTTTGCTAAATACCTTTGAATCAACAAGAGCAGTATTCAAATCCTGAGTAGTGGGCAAGACCTCCACAGACTGATCATTGGTCACCTAATAATCTCCACAAAATCTCACAGTGGTGTCGGACTTTGGCACTACCACAATTGGGCTTGCCCAACTCGACTTGTCAGTTTTCTTAATCGCCCCATGTGCCTCAAGTTTGTCTAACTTTTTCTCTACTTGCACCTTCAGAGCATAAGGGACTCGATGTGCTTTCACAAAGATATGCTTTACATTACTTTTCATAGTAATATGTGCCTCAAGCCCATTCATGCCCTCATAACTGTCGGTAAATAATTCATGATACTTTGACAGCAGATTAGTTAGTTGGCCCTCTGCACTGATTGGGTTTTCATTAGAGATACTTAAGATCTCTCCCCATGCCAATTTTATCCGATGCAGCCAATTTTTACCAAGTAACGTAGGTTTGGCTCTCTAATTACCTACAACTACTGGTAGTGAATAGTGTTTATGTTTATAAATAACATTGCACTGCATTTCACCCGACTCCTCAAGCACTTCACCAGTGTACGTACGAAGTACTACCTTGTTTATTGTTTATTGTTTTGTTTGCCAAAAAATTGTACAAATCAAATAAAATCTTATTATTTAAACTCTCATGGCGAGGAAGCCCAAGAGAAGCCACCGCACTTATAAGGAATGGGCTCCCTCAGTTAGATAATTAGAACAAAATATTATCATAATTACACATGGGAAAATCAATGGCAGAGCTACAGTAATTCTTAAAATAAGTATATTAGATAGTCGTACTAATCATAGTTTTAGGCTAAAAAAAGCGAAATGACAAAGAGATTAGATTGAGTTAAGGGCGTGTCTGCAAACTTCTCCAGATATACACTGTGTGCTGTTATGGAACAGTCCACAGCAGTATCTACCTCCATTTTACATGGTTTCCCATTGATCAACATTTCTACCGAATAACCACCGGGACTAGGCCTGTTTGTGTTGAGCGAATACGATGAGTAAATTCCTAATTCATTATCACTTGATTCAGAAACATGCAAGTTATGGACCGTGCCCTTCTTCCACTCACTTTTGCTACAACAGACATCCTAGATGATCAATCTTAGAACACTGATAACACTTTGCAGACTTAAATTTACAAGACTGACCTGAATGATTATTACCACCACACCTAAAACGTTGTTCATGATTAGTGGTTTTGTTATCCTGCATAGTCAACTGGTTGACTTGAGGGCTTTCACTGATGGTAGCGTGAAACTCCTGTGTGTTTTTTTCAGCCATCTCCATAGCCTTGGCAATCCTACAAGCTCTCTCAAACATCAGGTCCTCCATGTTCAATAGTTTGTTTTGAATCTTGGGTTTGTCTGCAAACAAATCGGTCTTGTAACGCTCGTCCAAAAGTTCACTGTAATTACAGTGAACAGCCAATCTCTTCAACGCTAACATGTAATCCCCAACAGATCCTCCCCACTTCTGATTTCATGTTCCAAAATGGAAACTGCGCAATTTCCAGCAATTTTGGATTGTAATGCTTCTCCAGTTCACGCACAATGTCACAAATGATGTATCTTTGGGCTTAGTTGGCACCAGTAGATTACTGAGAGTTGAATAGACCTCGGCTCCAACTTCTGTGAGGAATATAGCTCGCTTTCTTGCGGCTACAACTCGATTTGCTGGAGTGCTACCCTCACCTGTTGTCTCAACGATATTATTTGCCGTTAAGAACATTTCCATTCTTTCCACGTATGCATTAAACTTTTCATGCTGGGCGATGAACTCGCCGACACAACCAAACAATCCAGTGCTGGTCATTCTGTACTCCACAATACACACACAGAGTTGCCCCAAAACCTTGCACTGTTGATGTTTGAGGAAAATTGTTCTCACCTCGTCCCCAAAATGTAATATACTAATCAAGCTGCATGACTCGACGCTAAGCAGGACACATCATGGCGGGTTCCAACGACAAGTTTTATTCCTCATAGCATTGTAGGTAATGACAGCTTTCTCAGAGGATACTCAATATATTACAAGGAACAATAATTTAATTCTACGTGAACAACGTCCTATGTGTACATCTTCAACTCTGACACTCAAGCTACGACTTGATCACCATGAGGTCTGTAAAACTACTCTCACACATGTGCAGTACAATTAAACTTATTAGACTATTCTCTCACGACATCTCCCTCTGGAGTTTTTTAAGGATAAACGGTACAGAAACTTAGAAATATATAACTCAAGTGGCGTAATGCATTTTACGTATGTATCAGTCTATATCCCAATTACTGTTAACATTCCAAAAGGACAAATCAAACAGTCTTTCAAAAGGGCAGGTCCTCTCACAACATGGCCGCTGGAGACCCTAACTTCAAGTTGAGGAGCACTAGGCTAAGTGTTTGCAGAAGAGGATACAACTGATGTCACTCTGCAATGCTGTACAATCTGTGGCGGTTCTGTATGCGAGGAGCCTGAGCTTGGATCTTTAGCTCACTGGCTCTAGGTCCAAATCTTGTTCATCAGGCATCTCAACTCTATTAAGACTGAGCTCTGTGCGCAGGTGTCTGCAGTTTCTTCACACCACTCTGGAAGTGTCTGCATGACTAATGACCGTGGAGTTGGGCTTCTCGCAATGACTTTCCCATATGCTTGCCATCCTTTCTGCTGATGTAACTTCTCCCAAACTTAGTCACCTGGCTGTATGGCGGGAAGGGGTTTCACTCCATGTCTCTTGTCAAAGTATTGAGGGTATGCAGTTTTAATTACTCATCCTTTCTGGTAACTGCTTCATGGCTCAGTGGAACTGGCTTCAAGTTGGATTCCAATGAAGGTAGGAAGGGCGGATTTCTCTTTCCAGCATCATCTGGCAAGGGCGTACACCTTTAGATGTGTGAGGTGTAGCTCTGTACAACACAACATCAAGAGAGGGATTACACTGCTTTAGTTTCTTGGTGATGTAGACTCTACAATTCTTCTTTGCACAACTGAGGCAGTAATAAATCCTCTTGTCTTCAATCAAACCTTTTTGAGGGTAGGGCTTCATGATGTAAGTCTTCAGGGCAAATGCATCGTCAGCAACAATTACATGTGGCACCTTTTTGAAACCAAATGGAAGGCATTTGTGTGCTGGAAGGGCCACTGATCCATCCTTGATTGTCTGAGCTAACCCACACTTGTTCCAGGCTCCTCCATCAGATACTCTTCCATTGGTGCCCACATCTGTGTAGAGGCATTTATATTCTTTCCAATAGAGTTAGTGTTTTTGTAGTTGTAGAATGTTGAACCACACTTTGGTGGAGCTTGAATGACAATGTGCTTACCATCAACCACATCAACACAGTTTCGAGCCACCTTTTGTTATTTGATGGTGTTCTGAGTTACTCGGGTCCAAGAGAACAGTGAATCGCCTTACAAACTTATCTCACAATGTCCTCATTAGCCCATATGGAAAACGTTTCATGAGGCTTATCAAAGAAAAAGATGAGCCTACCAGCAGCCATGGTGTTTGCCAGGGCTGCAAGTTTTTTGGATGTGACGTCTTCAACTAATGTTCGCTCTTGAGCACTTGTTCCTGGTTCACTTGTAGAGAGAGCAGGGCAAGCATTGATAATTCCCGTTGAGTTTAAGGCACCTGAAATGGCTTGAGAAATAACAGCAGTCAGCTCAGTGGGGCTGAACTGCAAGGTGGACAGTGCTGTTGGCGTCATCTCCCGCGAGCCGTGGAAACACTCTCTGTTCGGCGCCATTTTGCAGGGACTGCCAGTGTAGGTCTTTCTGCTGCCTGGCACTTAAAAGTTCGGTTAGAAGGCATGCTATTGTTAAGGCTAATAAGCCGAAATTGCTATTTAAAAATTGAAATTTAAATAACCACGGAGGCAACAAATCCGAGACATTCAATATAGGCTGGGCTATTTACCCACCAACAATACGTAAAGTAGAACGGAAGTCAAAGAATGTCAAGTACAAACCACAGCAGGTAACATACAATTAAAACAATCCGAGACATTCAGACAGGACATTTGTCCTATAATGGCTTGGTTGTGTTCGGCACACTGATGTAATAAACAAAAGCCATCAAGAGATAACACACTAAATAGCCATAAATGTCAAGAACAAGTCATGCAAATGGATAAGAGGTGCATGAGAACCAAGAATATAGCTTGCAAGTTTTGTGGTATTTGTGATATGTATACCAAAAAATTTCTTTATTTCGAGGACTGTATATTTATTCCCAATTATATTTTTTGACTTACACGTTCTACAATCTAGTGATGTACACTAAACAACAACATTCCACAATCTGACCCTTCTTCTACTATCACTTATCCTAAGTACAGCAAATACAGTTACTAAGGTTTCAGTAACACGGGATACATATGTGAAACAATATCTCCATTATACTCCTTAAGCTATGGATTATACTATACAAACTAAGCATTTGTCTGTCAATAATTATCATGTCAATCATTTACATCCGGTTTAATCTATTGTGTGCAAAACTCTAGTGTTAATTACACTTGTGTCATTTCCGTTTATGTCTGTTAAAACCAGGCAAAGGAGTGCTCGCTGCATTACAAATGGGTACTATTTCCAACACCCTCCATGCTTGACTGAATTTTGAGTCAAGAAAATGTGACAAAATAACCGTACTAGTCTTCTGGCTGGTTTATCATTTCTCTTGTCTTCCAGGCCGCAGCTCGGCAAGGAAATCATGAACGTTGGTACTCTCCTTCTGGCTATTAACCTTCTTAAGCATTGTGTAAAAGTTTCTATGGACAAATCTTCGACCAATTCCAAATGAACAGCTCTTGTCACACTTAACAATTGATTGATGTGTCAGCGTGTGTATGTCGAGATATCGAGCACGTGGGAAGTTTGGAGAGCCCGAAAGAGGCATAAGGGTTGCACGAGGCGGAGCCGAGTGCAACTCTAGCCTCTTGAGTGCTCTCCAAACTTCCCAAGTGCTTAATATCTCGACATACGCACAGCTGCAGCATGAACTAATTGTTTTATAACATTATCAACACAGCACGTCATTTTGAAAGAAGCAAAATTGTCTTTGCTGCTCCTCGATGTGTCGTTTATCTTTTGTTTGAGAAATACACTTCAATACCCGTCAACGATTCATTTTGTATATTTCAATTAAATCTCATCTCAGATCAGTCAAAAACTGAGGGGTGAACTCATGCATGGACGCTGGCATTTGACCACAGGGTGATTGCAGTGGCCCTGACGCTGTGGTTTGTGTAGGCTTTCGACAGTTCGGCAGCCCAACTGATGTCCTTCATCATGCCATCAAGTTTGTTGACACCGATTGGTCTTGCATCGTACCGAACTTCGTCATCGTATTTCCAGTACTTCTTCGGATATTGAAAAAATGCATTGCATTTAGGGTTAAACTTCGCCAGGTAAATCTTCATGGCTTTGTAACCATTGTTTTCTTCAGGGGTTTCGTACATCCCTGCCAACTTTTCGTGGCTCGAGTCGTCACTAGGTCCTCCAGGATGATTTTTGGTTGCTTCATTGTGCGTCATTGTGACGAACTTTCTTCCAGAGGCATCAGCTGCAAATTTGAAACTTGACCTTTTGAGTGCCGTCTGGCCTTCTCATCCTCTCCGACAAAAGAACAGGACAACATGAAACCACACATTTTGAAGCAAGGTAAGAGGGCTGGTTAGTGCAATGGCTTAAGAAGTTTTAAGCTTCTTTAAATCTTCATCTTCAATCGCTGGCTTGTGCTTCACATTCTCCTTTCCTTGGTACTTTAAATGGACAATCTGCGCATTCAGCATCTCATTTGATGTTTTGGAACGTGGATCGGAGCTCTGGTTCAAACCTTGGTTAAAAGGAGGTCTGTTTAGGCACCTCTCAAAGGAATGTCTGAGTCCAAGAAGAGTAGATTTACTGTACGGCTCTCCTGCTTTACTTCTTGCCTCGGCATAGAATCTGCAAAAGTTTACATCTAGTTGTCCTACCATCATTTGCTCAATTGGCATTTGAATCTTTTTTTCTTTGGACCAAGCTTTAATTAAAAGCAAAAATTTCAATTAATCAAACTTTTTAACTCATATTGCAAAACTCTTAAAGAAAAAAGAAACCTTTTAAAAGCTGCTATCACTTAATTAACTGGCAGACAAAAAGTTGTTACAAACCGCCACTCTGAAATGTTTACATGACCGACAGATCTGTGTTTGCTATGTTTACTGTTTCTGTGCCGGCTATAAATAAAATGAAATGTTTTTATAGTGGAATTATTTACCTTTGAATGTGTTAATCGACTAGTTTGTTAGTTGTTTTGTTCTTGCTGCATGCTTTTCTTCTAAGATGGTCTGCATCTTGGACTCACTCAAGGTTGCGAAACGATTAGGTGTCACTTGTCCGTTTGCATCCTTCTCGTTTGCTCCCTTTTTGGGGTTTAAAAATTCTAGCCCCAGAGAAAAATTAGGAAGCTCTTCCTCGTCAACCGGTTGGCTTGTAGCTATTTTAAGCTAAGGTTTGCTCTTTTTCCAACGCGTTTAAAAAGTCACTCGTGATAAAAAAATTTTCTTGAGGTGTTAGTTTGCTGACGTCAATAAGAATATGAAGCATGCTCGCGCGCTATTAAATTTGATTACAATTCTAGCTATGTCATAAAACAAGTTAGCAAAGCCATTGGCCATTTTGAGGTTGTGCGTGAGACTGGGTCGGCTTTGTCTCGAGTGGGACTATTTTGGGGGACGCTCAGCTGTTTTCTTGCACTTTCTACTTGAAACCCGAAATGCTACTTACATGTAAATCAAAATGGGCAAATTTAGCTGTTGTGTAGCTGGATGCACCAATAACTGGGGAAATTCACCAAATATGAAATTTCACACTTTACCAACTGAACCTAAAGTAAAACGGACGTATGTACGACTAATAATCCAGGATTACATGAAGGCCTATTCTATTTATTAGGGTGTAACTAAATGACCAATTAAGTAAAGATTCAGCATCACAGACAATACCGTTCACATTATTAACTCTCATAAAGGAATGTCTGGAAAAAAATGCCCTCAGTTACTTCTCATGAAATGCAAGATTCTCCCTCAAACTGCCCTTATGCCTTCTTATAACAAAAATAATGATAATATGAATTGTATCTATACTAATACTGATACCACTATTGCAACTTATAATAATAAACTTTATGTCACGAGTGTAAAGGACAAGTTGCAGTTATAAACTGTTGAACCTATTGCCTACACAGTTATGACTTAAAAACTGCAATATAATAACAACATTCAAATATGACATATTACAAAGTAATTAAACTGTAAAAGGCAAAAGAGATGTCAAAAGTCACTTCAAGCTTTATTACCCCACCCCTGCAAATGTTGTTGTTTTTTTAAATAAGCAATACTGTTTTTTTTGCTTATAATTCTATGTTAGCTGTGGAAACTGCAGGTCCTTGTTCCACCTTGTTTGTTCATGAAAAATTCGTGGATTAACAAGTTCAGGAAATACATTATCAAAATAGAATTGCTCAAGTTTTGGAAGCACACTCTCCCAAAATACAGAGTCAAAAGGAACAGATTCTGTGTAACAACCTTCTTGACTTCAACAATCTCGCTGTCATTTATGACTTCATCAGGAGATGCACCTAAAAATGGGTGTGTCTCAGATAGATTAAAACCGTACTTGTGTACCTTCTGGCCAGTCTCGTTTTCAAATGCGTGGATGATATTGGATTCTGATTCAATACCATCTCTCATGGCTTTAGTTTGTACTTGCTTGGTATAAATAAGCACCTCTGAAATAGCTTTTGTTGGGCTTGTTGTTGGCTTTAATAAAACATCTCTTGTACTGTGAAGCAGTTATGCGTGGTTTCTGTACATGACACCATGTTCTTGTTTCATTCTGGCCTTTTGTTTCTTGAGCAATTTCATTTCTTTCCTTGCCAGAGTTATATAATCACTGTCTGGTTCTAAGTGCCTTTTCTTTAATGTCTGTCATTGAAAGTGGAGCACACTAAGAAGGAGATACTATATCCCATTTAGATGGTGTGTCCTTGTCAGAGCTTTTAGTTTCATCCAGAGGCATTGTATTTTCTGGAAAGTCATGATATAAGAGAGCCCAAAAAAGTTTTTGCCCTTATTACCACCTTCAACTTGTCATGCACCAAATTCCAATGTTGCAAGTTGTGGCAACATGTTGCGCAAAGTAGACCTGAGTTCTACTTTTTGCAACAAACTTTCAATTTTATTATTTGTCACAACTTGCTAAGCTTCACAACACTTGTGATTGGTCAATTTTCCCACACCAAAAACTCAGGGAAACATGGTGAGTAAGCGCGCTCTTGACCCTGGGCATATTTGGGCCGAAGAAAACGTGGCCGAGGTTGTGCAGGTTGAGAATGTTGAAACCCGAGATTGTGAATTTATTAGTGAAAAAATGTCAGAGGCCCAAAGAAAAGATTTGTGCAAAGAACTTGAAAAGCACCCATGTCTGTGGGAAACTTGTGGACCAGAGTATAAAAACAAGCCACGAGGGTCAAGAGCTGTGGATGAGTTATGTCAAAAATTTAACATTTCACCAAGCTGTCTCAAAAAACAACTACATAGCTTTAGAACGGCATTGACAAGGGAAGTAAAAAAAGAAACCACAGAGGGCCACCAGTCGAGGTGGAAATTTTACACCGCTTTAACTTAATGAAAGATGACGTCCGTTCTCTTAAAGTGAAAACAGAAAACAAAACAAAACTGCTGTTTCATCATGCGGAAAAATTCTTTGTATGCAGCATGATCTCCTGTTTCCAGTTCCTTTACCAGCTGGTGGTAAATCTCTCTCTCCTCTCACAAGGCAATCCAGTCCCTCATATAGACGTTTCGGTTTCTTTTACGGGGTTTTTGGGCCTCTTCCTCAAGTAAAAAAATTAACGCAAGGGTGGCTATCGCTCGCTTTCTACGAAAGCCCAGCACGTCGGCCATTTTGTTTGCTGACAAAAAAACACGCCTTCGACCAATCACAACGCAGGATTTTCTTAATTACCTGCAACTTGCAAGATCGAAATTTGTTGCGTGACAAGTTGAGAGCAGAGGTGGTAATATGGGAGCTTACAGGCAACAACGCTTTTCAACTTGCAACGCAATAATGTTGGGTGAATTGAATTTTACAGAAATGGCTCTGCACAGTCTTGAGTCACTATGGCAGTGCTTAACAATTTGTATTGAACTGAAAACTTACATCGAAGACTCTTTGATTTCAAATCGAACTACAATTTGTGTGTTGTTGTCTCTTTGGGTCTCAAACACATCAGGTGTAGAAATCATTCAGGCTGCACAACCTAGTGTGCATCATTGGTGAAGGTAATCGAGAGCCTGTCATTGAATAAATTGACAAGCTCAAGTGAGGGTTCCAAAACGGTCCTTACTGCTTTGAGTGAAGAGTCATCATCTTCCCTGGATTTCAGGCTTGTCTGGTATTTCTGTATAAAGGTACAGGGAAGGTAATCCTATCAATGTTACTGAAGGTTACTTTACAGAAATAATATGGAAAGAAAACATAGGAAAAATCAAAGTAAACACTCTTTCTTTTGTTTTTTACCCTTCTGATGGCCTTTTACTATACTTTATTTCTGCAAGAAATGGCTTCACATAAATGCTGTTGAAGGCGAGGCCTTTAAGCATTTAAGCAAGGAGTAAGACTTTTTATTTTTTTGCCTCTGCTTTCCCAGTCAATAAAAGTTATGGCCCAAGTCATGGAATCTCCCTCATTTAAGCACTTTTTACAAGATTTCTTCATTCTGGAAGGGTTAGTTGTAAAAGACGTCTTTTGTAGTAAAGAGGGGTGACTTTAAAGTTTGTGGTAAGAAAAACTAAGGGAAAAAAAAAGAGAAAGACTAGCTGTCCACTAGAAATCTTGCACCTTCTTGTAGTAGGGATTAACGTAATGATAAGTCGTTGGCACAGTCTTTGCTAGGCGCTGAGGAAACTGGAGTAGAACCTTTAGTGAAGAACGTTGTGTTTTTATGTTTTTGTTCTTTTACTTTGTCCTTGGGCATGGTAATGTTACTATGATTTATGAGGTTGAAACAAAAAAAAATTAAACCAAGAGTAAAATCTAGCCGCAAAATTTCAGTAGCATTGCAGCCATAACAGTAATCGTTATTATAATTTCAGCGCGGACTTGGTTTGAAATTCGGAAATTTTCCTTTGCATTTCGGCCTTTTTTAATGCCGCGGCCGCCTCGCCTTTTGAATGGCCCTGTAGTGCGTTCGAGAAAACGGACGACTTGGAAGCACGTGACCCAGATCGAAAGGATCCTAATTCCAGTAAGAGGTCATTTTTCCGGTCCAGCTCTTTGTTAATTGCTGCCTGGATGAGTTCCTTCCGAGTTCTCATCATTGCTTCGACTGTTTGTCTCTCTTCCTGATGTTCAGGCAAGCTCGCGTGCACTGTAAAATCCATTAATGAAATCCACGCAAGTTCATAATCACTGAAAGACGAACCCAAGTCTCCTACGGCCTTACGTAAGGCTTCCACAGAATCTGGAGTTTCTTTGAGCTTGGAAATCGCTTGACTAGTTCTTTCCCAAATTTTTTCAAGTTTCAGTGAGTCAGACTGCAGTCTGTTTTCAATCAACTTCGCGGTGGGCTTCGAGAATCGTTTTGCTTGCGTGGATTCTGAATGCTTGGCGTTATCTTTGACGGCTGTGTTTTTGATTGAAACAAACCCATTTCCACTTTCTCGGGGCCTTCCTTTGAGCTCCCATGCTTGTATACCTTTGTAACGGGTGAATTTGAAGGAGCCTCTTCCAACTGGCTGAATGAACCGTGTTTTTGAGTTTTGCTTGGTTGCTTGAGCGTCAAATCCACGAGGTTGTCTGGCTCGGTGTGATTGGCCGGCGATAAATCTCTCATTTCACTATTCTGATCCCTCAAACCTTGATCCATTTTTCGGAGAAAATCATGAGGCGTAGGTCCTTCTTCAGAAGTGTAACCGGTTTTAATGAAAGCAAAAATTCACGGTGAAACGAGAAGGCGATTTCACTGGCGAGCACAATGTGACAAAATGCAAAAAAATAAAAACAAGCTAGTTCTCACGTGATCCTATGACGAAGCACGTCTAAGCTATGTTACATAACAAGGAAAACGTGACATGAGAAGGGAAACGCATGACAGAACAGCAGGGTAGAATCACCAGAACTAGTCGGTCCCACGAAATCATTACCAATGATAATCGCGACCTTGTTGTCGAGGGCCATCATACCCATTGTCTGCTCTTTCATTGCAAATTTCTCTCTTAAGGATTCGTGTGGCAGGGTAGGGTTGTTCTTAGCATAATCTAAGGAATACACTTCCTTTTCACCTAATATTGACAGTATCGCATTCGGCGTGAAGCCATCCTTTTCCAAGGAAACAGGTACTACTTGGATTTTATTGGTTGATATCAGAGACGTAATTGCACTTCCTTGACTAAATGCCATCTCTAGAAAAGAGACCAGATAAGCTCTGACCAGTCCACTCTCAATATTGACAGAAAAAGGCAAGGACTGCCACTACCTAACAACAACACTCAGCATATTACGATAACACAGACCATTAACATTGAGAGGAACAAAGGACAAAGCCATAATAAGCGAGGAAAAGGAGACGCGATGGCTCGTGATTATTTATTTTGTGCTTGAGGGGATGACCAAGCAAAGTCTTATCAGCAGATACCCGAGCAGCAGGAGTCAAAGTCCGTTTTACAGTGGTTATCAGAGACAGATGCATCTTCTTATGTGAGATTACCGGGAGAGAACTGACAGATGAGGAGCTGCCTTAGCAACTTCCTCACATTACTTTCTATGTATCACATTACATTTTATGCTTCAATGTACAATACTTTGTACTACATTACTTCGCTTTACTTTAGTTATTTGCATTTCATCTACTTTACCTTGCTCCAGATTAATTTCCACTACATTACTTTCTTCTACATTACTTACTTTAATATTCGTTTGCTTTGTTTTACTTTGCTTATTACTACTTTCTTTAGGTTTACTATTTACAACCCAAACAGCAGTAGGAGCAGCCTGAGCAATCACAAGAGCAGGGTATTTAAAACCGGGTTCCTCACACTCACTATACTCAACAGAGAAGGCAGTATCACTGGTCTCACCAGAATTCTCTGCATTAGCTTCACCGCCAGTCAAAGCAGCCAGTACTGACTGGCTCTGGCTTTGTAACTCATCTAACTAATAGCCCGCAGGTCAGTTATTTCCGATGCACTGACAGCACTGGTTGACACAGGGTAGTCATTTGGGCAATCATGGGCAAAATTATTATTGTACTCAGATACTTGCGACATTTTCCCCAAATAGAGCAGTAGTTTCCCCTGCAATATGATCCCCTTTTCACATAGATCCCACTCCGTGGGGTGACCTACTTAAACAATTTGATCATCGTAATTGCCTATAGCCAAATTTTGAGGGATATGACGAGAGTGAATCAGAGTTACTGTGCACACACCGTAGCAAATCTTCGGTGATGAACACTCTGAACTAAGCCAAGGGTATCTAAATCATATGCAAGGGCAGAATCGTCTGCCTCAAAATGGTAATGATATACCAAAACCCTCCGAGGGCAGAGGCCACTTCCCTGGATAGTACAATTCTTCCTGATCAATACAACCGACTCATGCTGCAGAACCCATCTTTTGGTAGCTTCAGAATCGGAAGTCACTTTGGCTACAGTACCCACAAATTGAATTGCAGGAATGGTCATTCCCTCAAAACGCTCAACAATCAAAAAACAAACTTCAACCCATGTATTATCAGCTGCAATACGTGGAACATCAATTCTGACGGTGCGACGAAAACCAGGGCGAACCATGGTACTTGAAATGATCAAATACAAGCAACCAAACAAAGTTAAAACCTGATGGACAGGGTCAGAAAAGGGAGGGGTGACCGACCCAAAAACGAAGCCCCGATGGGCAGAACACAAAAGACAGGGGTTACAAAAGTTGGACAAAACTACAGAGTTAAGCCAGTTAGGCAACCACGAAACAAAGGAAAAAAGGTTCGAACTCTCAAGTCAAGCCTGCCTCTAAAAACTGATAGGTGACTGTCCAAAGAGAGTCCTCTAACACGCCCATGCTCTTGGCTTTATTTGTATAAATCGCACATACACATTACAATGAATCTGACGAAAAACTATCATCTCAAGACAAAGGGTAATGAAATGGTGAATAAATGAATTTCAAAGTCCTGACTGAAAAACAAATGTAATGTAACTAAAGAGTTTTGCAACTAAGAAGGTCGCCCAATCTGGAGAATATGTCAACAGTTTGATCATTTTGTTTTCTTCACTTTTCCGTGGGATATTATGTGAGTGACACATTTGGTACAGACAACTGTTGGCTCTCTTTTGTAAATGATAGTTATTTCATCTATATTTGGTTCAAAGGCCTGGACTTCTGCTTCGTACCAGCCAGCCTTCAAGCCACTCTCCTTAACTTCCTCCTCCATCCATTTGATCAAAATAGATGTCCTAATTTCAGTTACTTGGTCGTAAAGGTCCGCCACCTCACATGTAGTGACATGTAGACGTAGGGTTCCTTTTTCCACACCATCTTTGACATGTACTTTGTACACCTTTCCTGGCTCGCTGACATACTCAGTTTCTATAGCATCCAGCACCTTGGTGTAGTTCTTGATGATGGCTGTATACCATTCTAGCTTCAAGCCGTCATTGTTATCCCTTTCTGTCCATTTCACCCTTACCCCTCCTTAATTGTTGCTTCTGGTGGCACTCAGGTTGTAAGGATCGTACTTCTGGGCAGAGTCTTCATTGGGAAGCCTGATTTCCCTTTTGATGTTTTGAAATATATCTTCCAATTTTGAACTAGTGGTGCCATCTGGGACTGGAAGCTTTTCACTTTTCCTGTTTAAAGTTTACCCTGCTGTTTCTCTAGGCCTCTGTTATGAAATACCACTTCCCTCCTGGGTGAAAAAAGCTCTTTGTCAAGTTAAAAACTGACTACAGACGATTTTTACTTCTTTTTGAGTGTTATTGCCTGCTCCGTGGCATCAATCATTTCCAATAAATCGTCATGTTCTCACTGAAACAATACATGCGCTTAACCTGTTTGAAGCGCCAAGACTGTAAGAGCCAGTTGCTCTTTACTTCCTGTCCAAGAAATTTTATAATAGTGCGGATATTGTTTAAACTTTAAAGCTGGAAGTTTGCAAATTTTTTTGAGTTGGGTGGGTTTGACGCTCAAGTCCCCATCAAATTCTTCAATTTCATATGGCTCATTCAACTGTAGTTTTTTACATAACTTTCCGGCAGCTTGCTTGTGGATTCATCGCTTCCTAGATTATTTTTTTACACATTTCCTCCAGTGCTGTCGTGGATTTGGAAAACAGGTCAGGGTTTCACCCCCGCACTAGATGCAAGGTGTCCAGTTCCTACGTCTTGAGCCTATTCCTATTTTCTCCTGTTTTAAAGTAAAACCTGTTTTTCGTGTTTTTTAGCTGGTGAAGCAAATTTTTTTAGCAAAATTGAAATTGGAATATATATTGTTATTGTTGTATGTGTTTTGGAGTGAGATTTATCATAAAGCAAGTAGTATGATGACTTTGATGTTCTAATATTAGCAAAAATAACAGTTACATTTGTTCTTTCCATGACCGCTATTGCTTATTACAGGTCTGTTAACTTTGTTATATATTGTTACTTTTTGTGTAATTTTCTAGTGCACCTATGTGTATTGTATGTAGTGTTATAGTTCTCATGACTATTGAATAGTTTTGAGCATAGCCCACTGAAACTGCATTTCACCATCTGTACATGTTATATTTTATTTTGAAGTCTTGCTCGCTTTTGTGTTCATCTTTGAAACTTGAAACAGGATCAAGTTGTCCTCTCATAACACAGGTCAGATAAATCATCAATCAGCTTCTTGTTTAAAAAACCAATCAGTAGCTGGATTCTATATGCTACATGAAGAGAACATACTCAAGTTTAGTTTACTGCACTACCTCTCTCAGTAACCCTTGTTAAGAGCTATTCCTAAGCAACTGACAAAGGATCCAATACTTTGGTTCCAAAACCGGTCTTGCAGTCATAGCTAAGCAGAGAGTTACGTTCTTCTTAGAACTTAACCATGATACATTCTGGTACCAAATAGATCAGTGTCATTTTGTGTACAGCACAGAAAGCCTGGTTGGGTACTTACAACTATGCGGTCTTTTGACTCAAACAAGCATATTCTCAACCAGCTACCGATTGCAGATTAATGGAAAGAATGCTTTCCATAGGACTTTTTAGTCTTAGTTTAATATCCTTCAATGACAACACAATCATTAGAAATTTCACTCCTCGAAGCTTTTCAAAGATTGGCCACCAACTTGAATGGAATTTGCTTATGATCACCTTTGATTATAGAACCACGCTCGACCTGTAGTCAAGCATATTATTCTGATTACAGTGTAACTGAGCCAATAAACTAAACGTTACTGATCATTTTCACTCCTTATAAGCCGAGAAAGTTGATCTAAATCTTGCGAACGTACAAGCTGAGGACTTGTAGCCTTTATAATAACCCTGATGAGGTGCAGGAACGCTATCTTTGTCGACAAAAGTATTATTGATTTCCTATTTTTCTCCTATTTTGTAATACAAAGTTTCCTATTTTTCCTATTTTGTCAATCCTGAGTGTCGCTGGACACCCTGTAGATGCAAAGAGCTCTTCAATTCTTTTGAAGTGTCTTCCTATTTGTTGTCTAGGTAGACCTTCCCGTCTTCCTTTGTACACCAAGCAAATAGTGCTAAAACGTGTGGAAGGTCTTGCTCATGTGAGGATGGATGAGGTGGATTAGATCTAACAGTTTGGAGGGCAAAAATAGTTCCTGGATCTAGTTCCATGGGCCTCTGGGTAATAGACTCCCTTCTTCGAACATCATATAGTGCAATATAAAATTAATGAATAACTGCCTTCAGTCCTAGGAGCCGCGGCAAACAAGCAAGGAGCATTTTTACAAGAGGACTTCTGGGCTTTTCAATGCCCTTGTCAATGACGGATACTAACACTTAAATTGCCCAGATTCCAAATTCCTGAAGCACGTATCAAGGGGAGGGTTTGTAATCATAAAGAGCAACTCACTGATTGATCAAAAAATAGTTTCAGGCTTGTAGTGCGACAGATAAAAAATAGTAGGGCTTTTCCGGTTCTTTTGATATGTGTTACTACGTTTGATCTGGGTGATGGAGATAGAAAAAGCTCTTGAAGTTTACGGTTATTGTTTACCGTCAGCTTTCTCTTGGTTTCAATTGCCTGGACGAGTAGATGTTTCATCGGAGTTACTGTGTTGGTTCATGAGGTTTGGAAGGTGTAATCCGGATTTTCTATATTTCTCCACATTCACGCTCCATGCCCTGCGTTCGCACTTATCACTTGTTTGGTACCTCTCGATTGACCAGTCGGCCAGCGGGGTAGTGGTATACCAGTATACCCGAAAAAAATTCGCCAAAATACCCAAAAATACCCAAAATTAATCGAAGCATTGTATACTGCATACCCGAAATTAGTAGTTAGCGAAGCAAGCACATATTTGGTTGTCTTACGTTTTTAGCATTCCGCTTATAAGAAACAGACATGCATCATTCACTATGCATTTAATTACAATCTCTCAGTCAGTCAATCGACAGTGGCTCGGACCGTCATTACTTTCTCACGATAACAGATCACAAGAAAGGTCACATGTCACATGAATAGAAAGATGGTTGGCTATGGATAAGGAATCTTAATCCTCGTAGTTCATGATAGTTGGGGTTGGTTGGTTTTCTTGAGAGGCCCATAGCTGAATGGTTAAAAAATGTCAAGAAAGAGGTTGCTGTAATGTTCACAGTGAGGGTCTCGATCAATAAACTTTACCTCATCCCAAAGCCAATAGTGGTCGGTCTGCTGGGGTCTGGTCACGGGCGAGTCTTGTCTTTGATTCTCTTATGCATAAATCTCCCTGTTTCCTCGATGCAGTTTGTAGAAATTTTGAGAAAAAGCGTCTCCTTTCATTTGCTTTTGTTTTCAAGAAATTAATGAAAATTTCATCATTTGTTCTTCTCAGCCTAGATTCTTATCTACCATATTTAAGTTAAAACTTTGGTGTAAAAATTAACCTGGGTCTCTTGTTACCTGACTCTTATTACACTACTAATACAAAACCTGGAAAACTTACCGACAAGCTCATATTCTTTTCCGTCATTGCCCAACATAAAATCTTGGTAGATTTTCCACTCATCTTCCGAGCTGACAGTGAAAAGTCTGCCACTAGGGAAATCCGGCGGATCGGGCTTTTTATGCTTCACACCAGTCGAAAAATTAAGTTTGTCAATGCCACACTCGCGCGCTTTGTCCTGAAACCCTTCGTAGCCGTCAAGAAGAAAACTCTTCCTAAGATCTGAAAGGCTTCCTTCGCTGATTTTTATATAGGTGGACCACTTTTCAATTGGTTTCGGTTCACCAAGCCGGGACAAAAAACAAAAAAGGGGCAGAAAAGTCGCTCGGGCGGTCATTGTCTTAAGCAGTTCGCATGTGACTGATGTCATGGCATTTGCATAATAACGTCTCCGAACCATCAGTACAACGGTTATTAAAATATGAGATCAACAACATCATGTACACGTCTCCATTGTCTCCTTTTCACTGCCTTTTATTGCTTCTTTTTTCGATTAAACATGGAGCTGTCAAATATCGTACGTTGGTATGATATGTAATTAAAAGCACAGGAAAGGTAGGTATACTTTATACCTGAAATTCAAAGAAAGTGATCTACCGAATACCCTTATTTATGCTACAATATACCTTATACCCGATTTAAAAAGCCCCTGTATACCGTATACCCAAAAACCCTGGCCGACCCTGATTGACACAGTAATTGTTCTGGTCTTTTGAAGCTTTGTCCAAGACATAATTAACTTTGGACGATGTCCAGCGAATGTTGATGATTGTCTTTGATGGCTGTGGTATCTGGAGCCTTATGAAGGGAGAGGCAAGCAAGACTCCTCGTTCTTCACGGTGACGTCTTGCTTCTAGAATGTCTTTGAGAAAATTTTGCGTATAATTAAAACAACTTGACAGGGAAGTTGTAAAATCATCTGGTGCCAACGCTAAAATTGCCTGTCTGGCATCGTTCATCTTCGTTTTGCTATCAGATACCCTATACAAAAGTTTGTTACAAAGTTTTGAGTGACTCTCTAGCCTGCCACCTCCACGCTCTTTGTGGTCACCTCAAAATTCGTATTCCATAATCGCTACCAGATCTGGGAATTCCTCCACTTTAGCTTGCAGCCTGATCTTTCACTGTTCCGCACTCTTATTTGCTTCATCTTTTCTGCTTCCTGAGTCCTTTTCATGAAATAACATTCTTGTCTTTTCAACAAAGTCCTTTTTCCAAGTTCTTCCCTGATATCTTCTCTCAACTCTGAAAATTTCTGTAAATGGCTTGGAATGAGATCGGGACTATGTCTAATGGAATCCTTGTTTGAAGTGTTCTGCATATTGTTAGCAAATTTCATGTCAGTGATCTTGGTTAAAATATATTTCGTCGCACTTTTATCTCTCTCTGTAACTGAGTAATGCTTTATAAGTAGTGCCTTTTTTTTCGATGTGCCTGTTTAGAGAAGTTTCAAATGTTTCGCAGTGGAGTAGGTGAACCATCTGTCCAAAAAATTCATGGATAGGTCCTTCATCCTTGGTTTCCACGATGAAGCCAATGCTCTTTATTTTCAAATGCATGATATTTCAATGTTTTGATAGAAGATTGCGTCACAGATTGCGTCACATTTGCCTTAAAATGTTGTCGTTTTTCGTGGTCTGAGATATTTAGTTGTTTTATCGAATGATAACTTAAAAGGTATTGTTGGTCTTGTCAATAAAAATTGTTTGCTTTTTTTGGGTGCCATCGATAACCATTGTTGCTCTTGGTCCCCAAGAATTTCTTTTGCTGTTCCCACAGATATGCCTTCTCTTGTAAAACATTTGTTAGCGTCTTAGACAGACCCCCATGATCTTCCTTGTCCATCCTCAAGCAATGGGAAAAGACTTTATGTTCCAGTAGCTTCAACAGCTCACTTTCATCGTCTCTATATTCACCACTGATATGGGGAAACAAGGTAGTAAAGGGCTGTTTATTGTCTTTTTCCCACTGTAAAGTCTTGAACAATTAGTAAGATCCGAAATGAGTTTTACCCGTGTATGAAAAAGGTGTTTTTCCAGAGCTTGTATATCCATTAGCCTTACCAAAGGATCTCGCAGCTGTGAGAAATAATGGAATATTCAAGGATTGTTTGTTGTCAATTTCTCGATACTGACCTCAGTAGATCCTCGCTGATTTTCAAACGACCATGACTTGAGGGGTATTAATGACACCTTGTTGTTGTTGCAGATGATTCTCCGTCTTTTAACTGAAGCTGATAGGCTTTTGTAGAATTCGCTCAAGCTTTCTTCTGGTGATTTTCTGTCTTCTTTCACATTGGCCGCGTTTCTCTCCAAATCTCATACATGATTTTACGAGGCATAACAGGATTTAACTGACACGGGAAAGTTTCTTTTACTTTTGATCCATGACATAAAACTGCGCCGACTTTAGTGAGGTTATCCTTTTAGCTACAGAAAACCCTGGCAATTAATAGTGAAAACTATCTAATATCAGAGGAAATTGTAGCAATGGACAGTAAAGGTACAGATAAGTTGAAAAAAAGATGGTGAAAATTACGATTAACAGCCTACCATGATTTCTATTTGAGACAAGTTTTGACTCCCATTTTGGAATCTGCATTTAACCTTAAGATCACTGCACCACAAATTTGATTGGGAGATTGAGACAAAGACTGTTTTGCAAATTGACCCAAGGAGAGCCAAGGTCCTTAACAGACATTTACGAGGACATGATGGTGGGGTGCCCCGTGAGGCTTGATTTATAGTCCAGGTAGGGTTATCAAACAGGATTTCAACGGTCAGGTGTCATTGTGGTTTTGTATAGGGGTCCTTGCCACCTTTTTACATGGATTTTTGAAAACAAACTAGTTCAGGGTCAGTTTCAGGGCGAAGATTGCGTGGCTAATAACCTGAATTAAAAGAAGGACAGATTTTCTTGGATTCTGCATTGGGTCAGTGGCCACTGAAACATTTTAAGCTTAGGACTTTTTGCCTCTCGCATCAGGCATTCCAAACTGGAATGTGCAGCTTTTTTTTTTCTCAGGGTGGAAAACGCAAAAATCCCGCGGAATCGGGAATGTAAGGGCACAGACAGCAAGATAAGTAACACACCATGGAAGAAAGGATAATATGCCTGGGATCCTCATACCAGGAAGTCTTGCAACTTGCTAAAACGGTTAGACTTGAGGACAGTCGGAGTCAACTCAGTATGAGGACTTTTGATAAAATTACAAGGCGAGCCCTTGTCAAAACATCTACTCCGAATTAGGACTATTGCCCATGACTATTCTCTGAGAAATTCTAACTCTTTGACGTCTTTTAAATAGAAAATCTGAGCGTTTAAGACAAAGCTTTTTCCCCAGTGCCATCGTAATCACAAACGCAACATCTTTTAAAAGTTAAATGTTAGTCTTAGTTTGTGGTTTGTTTTTAGGTCAATATAGTAGTCAAATAGTATCACAGTTTTTTGCTGTTTGTGTAGGATTTCTATGTACTATGCATGCATGTACTCTTCCAGTTTCTTGCCGTTGTGTGCTTTTGCAACAGTGTGAGAACACACTTTGTTATCCTTGTATTGCGGGTAGAAATTGTCACATCTGCATCCCACCTGATTTTAAGGCTTGTAGTCAAACGCAAACTGAAATTTAGTGGGCTTTCAAACCAGCAGTCCTTATGCAATCAAACTCTAACAATATCGGGCGGAAGTGATCTTCAAAGGTAGAAGCCCTGATGATGATATCATCAAAATAACTAGACATCAGGCCATTGAGTGGCAAAATGCATTAAATCTAGTGAAACTAGTGGGTCCATTTGTCAAACCGAAGTGCAGTAGTCTCCACTGGGATTGCCCCTGATGAGTTGAGAAAGCCTTGCTTCTCCTTTCACTTGTATGTGCCAGTACCCGGATGCCAAATCCAGGTTATAAAACCATTGAACCCAACCTAAGGCGTCTAAAAAAACATCCGTCTGAGGTAGTGAATGCTTTATTTAATCTCGGCTTTGATGAGGCAAAAATATGCTAATAAGCCGAGGGGAAAAAAAAGCAAGGAAAACAAAACAAATAAATAAAACAATCGCGAAAGAAAGGCAAATCCAAAAACTTATTTACAGTATAAAGCCTAAAAGTTACGTGACATAGCTATTTACAATAAAAAGCCCAATTACTTAATAGAACATAGATATTAATCTAGTTTGTCTGGTGTCAACGTGAGATCCGACTATACTACTTAGTTTCATACTGCACGGCATGTATGGCACTCCTCAGATAAAATTGCCAACAAAAAGTTTGTCACAACATATGCTAAGAAAACAAACGCGCGTGCAAAATGTGAATCTAGAAATTATTGCGTGCCAACAGAAGATGTAAAGCTGCCAAGAAGGAATTTACGCGCGTGCCTGCAGGAAGTGGCCAGATCGGCTCTGCAAATGATAAAATATTTTTCCCACAGGCACAAATTACAGCGATTTGAAGTGGGATTAAAAGGCGCGGCTTGCATAAGACCTTCCAAGTTAAGCTAAATCCAATCTTAGCATCTTTCAAGTGTCAGATGTGCTTACTGAGTTCTGTACTGAGTCTCTTGTTTGGGTCTCTGAAAGAAGACTTATGGTTCGAGTATCTGGTCTCAAAAGAGTTCTCAGTAAGCCCTACATAGGTCTCGGCTGGCCTGTTGTCCTCCGTTGCTACTATGGCTTGGTAGATCACGGCTGATTTTAAGCAATTACCGTCCAGAGGGCAAAGACCTGGTTGACGGCAGTTGAAAGCTTTAGGTGGTACTACGTTTGTTTTCTGTAGGGTGGATTTGTTGTGGCCATCAAGTTTTCGCTTTAGATTCAGCATGCAGCTGTAACTGATCTTAACTGTGGTCTGGTTGAAGATTTTATGCAGCGCATGGCCCTTCGGGAATTCTTCATCAAGGATCTTTAGGAAGGATTTTTAAACATTAGTAGCAGAGCTCTCGCGCGCGCACAGCGGAGCACCATGGGTAAGAAAATTTGGTAAACTGTCCATCCGAGAAAATTTGGTTATGACGTAGCGTATGCCCGCCCACCCGTACACACACTTCGTGTAAGCCGATATCAAATGTCACAATAGATCTTGCACAACTTGACTAGTTGACAAGCCTCTTAGTTATGTAAGCCATCCGTATGAGTACGATTAGATTGACAGCTGTCAAAAGCAGATACCCGCTGACAATTATCACATGACCATCTCGCGGGCTCAGATGAAAGACCAGTCGTTTTGCCCCTACATATAAGCTGATATTATATGTCACACTTACTAATTCAACATAAAAACAAAACTACGCCGGGCAAGGCTGTCAGTTGGCTGACAGTCGTTTAAAGTTATATTGGCAAG